AGGCTAAGCAAGATTAGTTTGAGTTAAACTTGACCAGTTAAGCTAATGAATCTATTCGTTGCCTAAGCAAATTAGTTCCTAGAAAAAAAAAAGAGAAGGACGGAGAGAGTTAGAGAGAAACTGTCTTCCTGAGAACTAGAAGAGATAGTTAGAGAAAAAAAAGGTACCTAGGATGAAACTTATAGGGATTTCAAATTCATCATTTTGGAATTGAGAATTGAATACTTAGGTGATTTAGAAAACATGAAATGGGTTGCTTACGTTAAACTAGTATCGTTAAGCTATGATTATTCCATAAATTCTCTGTCTTGGAGGATAAGAAAGATTAGTTGCAGTGAAACCTGGCCTCTTAAGCAAATGAAACTAATAGTTGCCTAGTTCCTATAATAAAGGAGAGAAGGATCTATGAGGACGGAGAGAGTTAGAGAAAATCTTTCTTCCTTGGTAGTGGAAGAGAGAGTTTGGCAAAAGAACGGGAAATAGGATTAAAACTAATGCGAATTCAAATTCAACTTTTTGGACTTGAGAATTGAGCGCAAAGGTAATTTAGAAAATATTAATGAGTTAAGTAAAAGTAATATCGTTAAGCAACCATTACTTTATACATTCTCTTTCTTGGAGGCTAAGAAAGATTAGTTTGAGCTAAAATTGGCCACTTAAGCAAATGATACTAATAGCTGCCTGTGCTAATTAGTTCCAAGAACAAAAAAGAGAAGGCTGAAGAAGGACAGAGAGAGTTGGAGAAAAACTTTCATCTTGAGCGGGAGAAGAGAAAGTTAGAGAAACGAAAGGGAATTAGGATGGAAAATTAAATGGAATTCAAATTCATCATGTTGGACTTGAGAATTGAACACTTAGATGATTTAGAAAACATTAAATGAGATGCTTGAGTGAAACTAATATCGTTATGGTACAATTACTAAGCAAAATCTCTTTCTTGGAGGCTAAGGAAGATTAGTTTGAGTTAAACTTGGCCACTTACGCCAATGAAACTATTTGTTGCCTAAGCAAATTAGTTCCTAGAAAAAAAAGTGAGAAGGATGGAAAAGGACGGAAAGTGTTAGAGGGAAACTTTCTTCCTGGGTACTAGAAGTGAAAGTTTGAGAAAAGAAAGGAAAATAGGATGAGAATTATAGGGAATTCAAATTCAACCTTTTGGACACGAGAGTTGAACACTTAGGTGATTTAAAAAAAATTAAATGAGTTGCTTATGTAAAAGTAATATCGTCAAGCTGCAATTACCTCATATATTCACTTTCTTGGAGGCTAAGAAAGAATAGTTTGTGTCAAACTTGGCCACTTAAGCTATTGAAACGAATAGTTGCCTAAGCTATTTATGTAATGACCCCAAAATGTGTATAAGAAATCACTTTTATTTATCTATGAGATGATGTGTTTGTATTTAATTATATCTATTAGAATTGGAGCATTATCAGTTGAGTTAAGGACTTAAAATTTGAATTACCGACCTTTATGGGTTCAAAAATCAAAATTGAGTACTTGGGTATGTTAATGGGAATTTTTGGAATTATTTGGGAAAATTAATTTGAAATCTAATTTTTCTGATTCGTTGATGGACGTTGGGTGATTAATTTTATACTGCAAATTAAAGGCCTTAGAAGCTTCAGAAACCAGAACAGGGGACATATTTATGATCAGCATAATTTTTAGAGTTATCTGAAAAGTTTAATTGAGATTTGATTTTTCGCGATTCGTAAGGCCACGTTTGGCTCTCTTTATTGTGTTATGTTGGTGTGTGTGTATATTTATATATATTGGGTGCTTTATGAATGGGTGGACTCATTATTTAGAATCAAAATCAAAAATATCTAGAGAAAAGGGGGGAGCCACGTGAGAGAGGGGGAAATTGAGAACTCAACAAGAAGAAAGATGGAGAAATTAGAAAGGATTAAAGATTGAAGGATGTAAGGCTTAAGGTATGTGTAATTCATTCTAATTGGTTCCTCTCCTTGATAATTAAGTAGGAAGTTCTTCATGTTTTACAAATTAGGGTTATGTATGGAACAAGTAAGTGGTGAATGATTAATTAGAATCATGTTTCTTGAGCTTGACTATGTAGCTAAATGATCATGTGTGTATATATATGTCTATGTATGTGTGAAGATGGGAATGTTATGAAATGAAGTTATGTTTGTAAATTAAGATCAAAGATTCAAATTGTAGGAAGTTGATCTATTTTATGGCTTCTAATTACATGATTTTGACCCATGTTTACCAATTAAAAGACCCTATTTTGAGCCTTGAACAAGAGCACCAAAAATTGGATTTTTGCTGAATTTTCGAACAGCTTTCTGCCCAAATCGCCGCACGTGCGGGGCTTCTTGCCGCACGTGCGGAAGACAGCTTGTTCAGCCAACTTTGATCAAGCATAACTTTTGCATTCGGACTCCGTTTTAAGTGATTTGAGCCTAAAATCAAGCCCCGGAAGTCTAGTTTCTAATGGCGCCAGTCTCACTCTCAAATTATAAATACAGGAATAGTTATGCCCAAATTAGTGACGACTGGTCACTTTTTATCAACCGATTTTGCCCCTTTTCTTCACTTAAACCATTTCCCATCGATTTCTCCTATTTTCTAAGGCATGGATTACACCTTATTAAAGCATAATGAGTGGTACCACCATGACTAATTGATTAAATGACTAAAGAGAATAAGTAAAGGATCGAGTATAACCTCATATTATGTGTTGTGCTTTGTAATTGTAGATCGAGACGAGGACATTGTACCATTACCATCGGGAACCGATCACTGTGAGTAGTAGTACAAGAATGTAAACTTTATATACTATTGACAATTATTGTCACTAATGCTCTGTTCTTTGTAAGTATTATTCAAACATTATAACAATTGGAAAGCAATGTGAGCTTATATGAACGCTGAAAGATTTGCGTACGTCGGTATGATTTTGGAATCCTTATATTCCGTTAATGACGAATATTAGCCTTTGTTATTTATCAGCATAGTATGTTATTTCTTAAAGAATAAGTGGAACTTATGTTCATCCTTGAAGAATGATGTTGTGTGAATTAAGATTATATTATGAAGGGACCCAAGAACGTTTAGAATCTATGATAGGAATGTAAAGGTTTACCATTAGTATGCAACCCACATAAGAATATGAATCATTCTATTTTGTTAAGTGCATGATAATGACATGATATAACAAGAAAAGCTCTGTTTTCCATTAACTTAATGATTATTCATATATGTAAAAGTATTCACATCATCTCTAGCACAAGGCCCTTACCCAGGGGTAATAATACTGTGGATCAAATAATTAAGTTACAAGTTTACGTGTGTTCTAAGTTTAAGTCTGTTATAAGTTTACGTATGCTCTAAGTCAAGAATGTTACAAGTTTTCAAGTTTAAGTGTGTTATAAGTTCATGTATATTACAAGTTCAAGCATGTTATAAGTCCATGTATGTTATAAATTCAAGTATATTACAAGCATACGCAAGTTATAAGTTCAAGTATGTTACAAGTTTAAGGACGATACAAGCGTAAGTATGTTACAAGCTACATTACATGTTTATATATGTACAAGTCCAAGTGTACTATAAGTTCACAATGTTGAGGAATTTCTTTATAGAACTAACAAGAATGCTTTTTATTGATTTGCTAGCGCTATTAAAAGGCTAAGTACAAGTAAGTATGAATTCTAATCTCTGTTAATGATTCAGGCATAATGCATATGTATAAATTTATTTCCGTTTATAGTATGACATTTATGTATGGTTTGGTCTGTAAGACTTGCTAATTATTGATATGGAACAAAGTGCTACTTGGAACTAAGTGCTACGTTGTGAGCCACCGCTAGAATCCATGTGAGACACCTCTTGAGTCCATACATGTATGAACTAGGCTTAAAGCCAATATGGGCCTATGGCCATTTTGTATGATCTATTAGGCAAAGGCCATTCTGTATTTCTGGTATGGAGCAAAGTACTGTACGGAACTAAGTGCTGCAATGCGAGTTACCTCTAGAATCCGTACGAGTCATCTCTTGAGTCCATACATATGTGAAAGTTATGAGGCTGATAGCCATTATGTGCAAGCTACGCGGCCTATGGCCATTCCGTATAAGTTATTATGAAATGAAACAAAGTGCTACACGGAACTAAGTGCTACGATGTGAGTTACCTCTAGAGTCCGTGTGAGACACCTCTTGGGTTCATATATGCAACCGACAAGATCAATCTGAACTTAAGACAGAATTAAATTAAGTGCTCTCTTTATTTATATAAGCATTGATATGTTTTATGTTCAAGTTAAGCATTGTTTTATTTAAGTATTGCTATTCACTGAGCTTGGCTCACTTCATGTTACGTATGTTCTGTAGGTATCCTACCTGAAGGTCAGTCTTAACCTGTGGGATCCACTCTTTTTGGTGTCAACCCCGGAGAGTCCAGGCACTTAAGTAAAGACAGCCATTCTATGGAGTTTTATTGAGCTTTTGGTTTATACCTTGATTACCTACCTAAGGTTGAAGTGTATATAATCCTTTTTCTTTTTACTATTTTTGTTGTGCCCAATTATGGGGGCTGAGTCTATATATGTATATGTTTATAACTAAATTTTCCGAGGCATACTACTACGTATTTGTTTGCATTATGTTCAGCTTATGATCCTGGCATAATTCAGGTCGCTCAATGGATATAGTTTTCTTTTATATGTTCGTTTATATTGTCAAATGCTTCCGTTCAGGCCCCATATGTTATGTATGTCAGGTTAAGAGTCCGGTTGAATAGGTCATGCCCAAACTTTTAGGGGCAAGTCTGGGGTGTGACAATTTAGTTCCTAGAATAAAAGAGAGAAGGTTGCAGAAGAACGAAGAGAGTTAGAGAGAAACTTTCTTCTTCTGTGGTAGAAGAGAAAGTTAGAAAAAAGAATAGAAATTAGGACGGAAATGAAAGGGAATTCAAATTCATCCTCTTGGACTTGAGAATTGAACATTTAGGTGATTTAGAAAACTTTAAATGAGAAGCTTAAGTTAAACTAATACGGTTATTGTACAATTACTAAGTAAAATCTCTTTTTTGGAGGATAAGAAAGATTAGTTTGAGTTAAACTTGGCCACTTAAGCTAACAAAACTGTTTGTTGACAAAGCAAATTAGTTCCTAGAAAAAAAAAGAGAAGGATGGAGAGATTTAGATAGAACCTCTCTTCCTAAGAACTAGAAGAGATAGATAGAGAAAAGAAAGGCACATAGGATGAAACTTACAGGGAATTCAAATTCATCCTTTTGGAATTGAGAATTAAATACTTAGGTGATTTAGAAAACATGAAATGGGTTGCTTCGGTTAAACTAGTATCATTAAGCTACAGTTATTTTGTAATTTCTCTATCTTGGAGGATAAGAAAGATTAGTTAGAGAGAAAACTGGCCTCTTAAGTCAATGAAACTAATAGTTGCCTAAGCTAATTAGTTCCTACAATAAAGGAGGGAAGGCTCAACATGGACGAAAAAAGTTAGAGAAAATCTTTCTCCCTTGGTGGGGGAAGAGAAAGCTTGGCAAAAGAAAGGGAAATAGGGTTGAAATTTATGCGAATTCAAATTCAACTTTTTGGACTTGAGAATTGAGCGCTAAGGTAATTTAGAAAACAATAAATGAGTTGCTTAAGTAAAAGTAATATTGTTAAGCTACCATTACTCTGTATATTCTCCTTCTTGGAGGCTAAGAAAGATTAGTTTGAGTTAAACTTGGCCACTTAAGCAAATGATACTAATAGTTGCCTGTGCTAATTAGTTCCTAGAACAAAAGGGAGAAGGTTAAAGAAGGACGGAGAGAGTTAGAGAAAAAATTTCATCTTGAGTGGTGGAAGAGAAAGTTAGAGAAATGAAAGGGAATTAGGATGGAAAATTAAATGGAATTCAAATTCATCATGTTGGACTTGAGAATTGAACACTTAGATGATTTAGAAAACTTTAAATGAGATGCTTGAGTGAAACTAATATCGTTATGGTACAATTACTAAGCAAAATCTCTTTCATGGAGGTTAAGGAAGATTAGTTTGAGTTAAACTTGGCCAGTTACGCCAATGAAACTATTTGTTGCCTAAGCTAATTAGTTCCTAGAAAAAAAGTGAGAAGGATGGAAAAGGACGGAAAGTGTTAGAGGGAAACTTTCTTCCTGGGAACTTGAAGTGAAAGTTTGAGAAAAGAAAGGAAAATAGGATGAGAATTATAGGGAATTCAAATTCAACCTTTTGGACATGAGAATTGAACACTTAGGTGATTTAGAAAAAATTAAATGAGTTGCTTATGTAAAAGTAATATCGTCAAGCTGCAATTACCTCATATATTCTCTCTCTTGGAGGCTAAGAAAGAATAGTTTGTGTTAAACTTGGCCACTCTAAGCTACTGAAACGAATAGTTGCTTAAGCTATTTAGTTCCTAGAATAGAAGAGAGAAGGTTGCAGAAGGATGAAGAGAGTTAGAGAGAAACTTTCTTCTTCTGTGGTAGAAAAGAAAGTTAAAAAAAAGAACGGAAATTAGGGCGAAAATGAAAGGAAATTCAAATTCATCCTCTTGGACTTGAGAATTGAACACTTAAGTGATTTAGAAAACTTTAAATGAGAAGCTTAAGTTAAACTAATACGGTTATTGTACAATTACTAAGTAAAATCTCTTTTTTGGAGGATAAGCAAGATTAGTTTGAGTTAAACTTGGCCACTTAAGCTAATGAAATAGTTCATTGCCAAAGCTAATTAGTTCCTAGAAAAAAAGAGAGAAGGACAGAGAGGGTTAGAGAGAACATGTCTTCCTATGAACTAGAAGAGATAGTTTGAGAAAAGAAACGTACATAGGACGAAACTAATAGGGAATTGAAATTCATCCTTTTGAAATTGAGAATTGAACACTTAGGTGATTTAGAAAACTTTAAATGAGAAGCTTAAGTTAAACTAATATGGTTATTTTACAATTACTAAGTAAAATCACTTTTTTGGAGTATAAGCAAGATTAGTTTGAGTTAAACTTGGCCACTTAAGCTAACAAAAATGTTCGTTGCCAAAGCAAATTAGTTCCTAGAAAAAAAAAGAGAAGGGCAGAGAGATTTAGATAGAACCTCTCTTCTTGAGAACTAGAAGAGATAGTTAGAGAAAAGAAAGGCACATAGGATGAAACTTACAGGGAATTCAAATTCATCATTTTGGAATTGAGAATTAAAGACTTAGGTGATTTAGAAAACATGAAATGGGTTGCTTCGGTTAAACTAGTATCGTTAAGCTACGGTTATTCCGTAATTTCTCTATCTTGGAGGATAAAAAAGATTAGTTGGAGAGAAACCTGGCCTCTTAAGCCAATGAAACTAATAGTTGCCTAAGCTAATTTGTTCCAACAATAAAGGAGGGAAGGCTCAACAAGGACGGAAAGAGTTAGAGAAAATTTTTCTTCCTTGGTGGGGGAAGAGAAAGTTTGGAAAAAGAAAGGGAAATAGGGTTAAAATTTATGTGAATTCAAATTCAACTTTTTGGACTTGAGAATTGAGCGCTAAGGTAATTTAGAAAACAATAAATGAGTTGCTTAAGTAAATGTAATATCGTTAAACTACCATTACTCCGTATATTCTCCTTCTTGGAGGCTAAGAAAGATTAGTTTGAGCTAAACTTGGCCACTTAAGCAAATGATGCTAATAGTTGCCTGTGCTAATTAGTTCCTAGAACAAAAGAGAGAAAGCTAAAGAAGGATGGAGAGAGTTAGAGAAAAACTTTCATCTTGAGCGGTGGAAGAGAAAGTTAGAGAAACGAAAGGGAATTAGGATGAAAATTAAATGGAATTCAAATTCACCCTGTTGGACTTGAGAATTCAGCACTTTGATGATTTCGAAAAGTTTAACGAGATGCTTGAGTTAGCCTAATATCCTTATGGTACTATTACTAAGTAAAATATCTTTCTTGGAGGCTAAGCAAGATTAGTTTGAGTTAAACTTGGCTACTTACGCTAATTAAACCGTTTGTTGCTTAAGCTAATTAGTTCTTAGAAAGAAAAAAAAAAGGGAGAAGGATGGATAAGGACGGAGAGTGTCAGAGGGAAATTTTCTTCCTGGAACTAGAAGAGAAAGTTAGGGAAAAGAAAGGAAAATAGGATGAAAATTATAGGGAATTCAAATTCAACATTTTCGACATGAGAATTGAAAACTTAGGTGATTTAGAAAACGTTAAATAAGTTGCTTGAGTAAAAGTAATGTTGTCCAGCTACAGTTACTCCGTATATTCTCTTTCTTGGAGGCTAAGAAAGATTAATTTGAGTAAAACTTAGCCACTTAAGCTATTGAAACGAATACTTTCCTATGCCAATTAGTTCCTAGAACAAAGAGATAAGGTTGGAGAGGGACGAAGACTGTTAGATAAAAACTTTCTTCTTGAGGGGTAGAAGAGAAAGTTAGAAAAAAGAACAGAAATTAGGATGAAAATGAAAGGAAATTCAAATTCATTCTCTTGGACTTGGGAATTGAACACATAGGTGATTTAGAAAACATTAAATGAGAAGCTGAAGTTAAACTAATATGGTTATTATACACTTACTATGTAAAATCTCTTTTTTGGAGGATAAGCTAGATTAGTTTGAGTTAAACTTGGCCACTTAAGCTAATGAAAATGTTCGTTGCCTAAGCTAATTAGTTCCTAGAAAAAAAGAGAGAAGGACGGAGAGAGTTAGAGAGAAACTGTCTTCTTGAGAATTAGAAGAGATAGTTAGAGGAAAGAAAGGTAAATTGGATGAAACTTATAGGGAATTCAAATTCATCAATTTGGAATTGAGAATTGAACACTTAGGTGATTTAGAAAACATAAAATGGGTTGCTTAGGTTAAACAAGTATCGTTAAGCTACGATTATCCCCCAAATTCTCTTTCTTGAAGGCTAAGAAAGATTAGTTTGTGTGACCCCTATCCTGTTAAGCCAATGAAACTAATGGTTGCCTAAGCTAATT